ATCTTAAATTGTTTATAGTGTTTGAACCATCTGTGAACATATTGATGGTTTCCCAGGTAAATGGATCGCACGTATCCAAAGGATCAAAGCTATTCTAAAGAATGAAATGGAAGAAAGCTGAAGTGGAATAGTCAAAGTAAGTGATGTATCAATGTAAAATAAGTATTAAACTGTAAACTCTAAACCCTTGTTTATATTACAGCCGAATGCCATTGAAACTACATACAGTGGAAGTGGCGGAGGAGGCAAAGGTAATGGCGGAGGCAGCGGTGGTGGTGGAGGCACATCCAAAGGAGGTGGTGGGGGATCGGGAATGATGGTGGCTCCAGGTAGTAAAGGTGCAGTGTTATTTCAAGGGGAGCTTTTGAGAGCAACCCGGCTTCCATTCAAGCGGAAAGGCCAATAAATAAGTGATGTAATGTTGCTGGAAAACATGCTTTCGGAAACTTTCATTTATTATTTGTAGTAAAGTAATACATGACTAATTAAATAAACATTATCTTTGAATAATTGCCAATATATCTTTATATCATCAGATTCATCACTGATTGGAAACAATGCTCTATTTAATCAAAGTTAAATAAGTCCTCGGAAGATGCTTGTAACATCCTCAATACCGGGTCAGTGATTAAAGTGTAAGATTTTAAAATTTCAATGACCAAATTAAATAAATCGAAAAGTGAAGAAATTAATTGAAATATATTGTGTAGGATGAATTAATAAGTGAAGGAGAAGTAAAAGGGTAAAAGGGTCATTGAGTAAATAAAATAATGAATTGTGGGTATTATAATACCCATGTGGATGAATTGAAGAGATAAGTTTTCAGAAACTTATCTTCTTCATCTTCTTCTCCCAAACGTGAAGCATACAAGCTCAAGGTAAGAATCTAAATCTTGGTTGTTTCTTTGATTTTTGGTTTAGTAATGAAAGTTTGAATGTTATATAAGCTAAAGTAAAGCTTATATGACATTAAAACAACAAGATAAGTGTTTTAGAGATGGATTTGAAGAATGGGTTTTTAGATGAAATTTTGATATGGATGAGTTTTTGAAGTTTGAATAAGATTTTTGACTTGTCAAGAGGTTAATTAAGGAGTATGAAGTGTTAGAACTAAATTTAGAACATGTTGGAATTTGAGTGAGATTCTTGAATTCTGTGTTGATGATTGGATTTGTGAGGTTAAGAGGTATTGAATGGGTGGTAATCAGTTTAAGTAGGTGTATAAGAGTTAGATATATTAAAGGAGGTGAAAGATGAAGAGTTGAGATGAAAAGAGAGTGAATTTCGTACTTGCAATGGGATTTCTGGGTTGTGTGCATCAATGCATCTTCAATGTGCATCGATGCACTCTCAAATAAACAAACATCGAATGCAATTAATGCATCGATGCATAAGGAGTGCATCGATGCATCCCCTTAAAATACAAACATCGAATGTCATTTATGCACCGATGCACAGATCATGCATCGATGCATACCTTCATTAAAAGATGAAAATAGCTTTTCTTTTAGCCTAAGAAATGATAGTTTAGAATATATTAATTAGTATACTGATAAGTATCAACGAATTATTATGTAGATACAGAGCTTAAACAAGTTCACGAACAATTTCCCGGTAAGATTGATCGAGGAAAAAGTAAAGAAATATAGGTGAGTGCATATGCATAGCCTGAATATAATAGTATATTCAGTTCTAGACTTGTGATAAGTCTAGATTCAATATTTTGATACATGATCACATTTCATATTATGATACATGACATGAATTCATATTATATGCATTATGTGACATGAATATGCAGGAAAAGTTATATGAGCTATGTGATAAAGGTATGAAAAATGATATGTCTATGTGATAAAGGTATGAAAATAATATGTCTACGCGATATAAACTATGTGAATTGTGAAAGCCCATGTTATGTAGATGAGAACTATACGTATAGTTGGCATGCCAAGAGTAGAGGGTCTACGCGGTCCTTCAGGACAAATTCTACGTGGTCCTTCGGGACATATATGTATTCTTTGGAACATGTATGAGGTCTTTTGAGACAACTACTTGATCCTTGGTATATGTATATGATTCTTTAGGAATTTCTATGTGGTCCTTATGGACAATATTATATGGCACTTCGGTGCAAAATTCTACGCGGTCCTTCGGGACAAATTCTACGTGGCACTTCGGTGCAAATTTATACGAGCTGTGGTGACAACATTTGTGCACAACCTCACAGTACTCACATACCTCGGGTTCTCATTATTGTATCATGGGCTATTGAACTTATTGAATATATGATTTCATGATATTGCATTTCATTATGACATGTTCATTATATTTTATTGTCGTTATTATTATGCCTCACTAAGTCGATGACTTAGCGTGTGAGTGTTTCACACGTAGGATCAGAGAAGATAGACAAGCAAGGTTAGACATTCGGGACAACAATACTCCTACAACTATCAGATCAGAAGAACTTTAAATAGTATGTATTATTACGTGATAAATAGTTTGGCATGTAAATAAAGTCTTTAAATTATGTGTGCTCTGATCAAGTTTTCTAATGTTTTAAACGTATTTATGTAAATATAAATGTATAGTAATGAACGGTGAAATTTTTACGAGTTTTTATGTATTTTTACGAAAATACTGTAGCAGTGCATCGATGCATGAATTTGCTTCGATGTTTTATGCATCGATGCACTGTAGCAATGCATCGATGTACTGTAGCACTGTTCATCATTGTTCATCACTGCTCAAGGTTCTGTTCATACCGTATTTTACTGTTCATAAATACATTTTTATCTCAAAATTTTATAACAAACACAATTCAACAATATCTGATCATATTTTCTTAATATAAGTTTAAATGTTATGATATTTTACAAGAATAAAGGTTTTAAAATGTCAATGTGACATCTAGAACTCGTATCCGGGTCGGATACAGGTTGGGGTGTTACAATGCTCATATTTTGCCTAGTTTCTTAAAACTTCAGTTGTTTGTGGAGAGAATTATAGGCAAGATTTGATCCATGAACTTCGATGATGTCAACTTTTTACCCTAAAACATCAGTATGATATGATATGGTTTGGGGTGTTCATTAATTAAATTTAAAGATTTAAATTTTTGCATGTCTAATGAATTGATTACTTAATTCAGATCTGTAAGAGAATTATTGTTTCAATATTCGTTGGCAACATTACCTGCTTGATTCATTTTCTATCCTGGGTTTGGAATGTTACATCTTTTATCCCTCAAGGCATCTTTCTTGCCTTTTAGGGTGCGTTTAGTTCACGGAATGTAAGATTACCAGTGGGAATAAAATATTACCAGGGAATAGGATTACTGAGAATGTTGTATTTTTGTGTTTGGTTGGTTTAGCAGGAATGTAAGATTACCGTGTTTGGTTAAAGGAATAAAAGATTATTGAAATGTATATTTGACCAAATTGTCCTTATTATATATTTGTTTTTTAACAAGTTGAATTCTACTATAATATTACTATAATTAATTTATATATTTTCTTTAAAAATTTTAAATTCATAAAATTTATATAATTTTTTTACAAAATTGAAAATATAAAAAAGTTTAATGAAAGGGTAAAATTTTATTTTAACCCCTGAACTTCATATAAAATTTTAATTATAGATTTTTTTTGTAAATCTAAAATAGTTTAAGAATAAATTTGTAATTTAACCTTCGTAGAATTTTTTATTATTTAATGACAGAAGAATGATATTTTTGGAAAAAAAAATTAAGGGCGTTTTAGTCCAAAACGCCAGTAATCCAACAATACCTAAGGGAAGGGAGGTAATGACATTCCCAGTAATATACCCCAAAAAAATCCACTGTTGGTAATAAAAGATTACCGGGAATGAGATTACCGACCAACCAAACGGGGAAATGTGTATTCCATTCCCCTGATAATTTCATATTCCCCGGTAATTCCACATTCCCCGAATCAAACACGCCCTTAAAGCATCTTCTACCTTGACCCTTCAATGCGTGGTCTCCCCCACGATTTCTATCCAGGGACGAATGTGTTGGGGTGAAAAACCGAACAACTGAAAACATGTGGAAGCATAACAAGTGTTCTTTCTCTCTTTATAACTCAAGTCAATAATTATGATAGGTACAATAGTACAAAATATATTATCTAGTAATACTAATCAACCACAAGTCAACTATGTAATCACAACAAGCATAAATTGAAGCATTAAATTTTTTACGTGAAAAATCACTTTAAATCAAGTGTAAAAATCACGAGACTTTAAATCAAGAATCGTTATTTGATGATTGTGATATTCGCAATGATCATAATAATACCCATTATATATGCAATAATAATAAATGCAACGTAACAAAAAATGCAATCACAACCGTTATTTAAATCCTTATTGTAACCTATTGATGAAGTTTAATGCAAACTTATTTTAATAATGTATTTCTCAATGGAGAGTTAGTTAAGGACCGTTAGATCCAATTACTCATTCAATTCTCATCTAGTACACTAAAATCATAGCTTAAGCTACTTCCATTCCTTTTCACAGTCAATCGCACGAGTGTAATATATATTCACAATGATTGTAATAGCATTCGTTCAGAAAAGGTAAAATCTTTTTGAGCCAAAATAAAATAAAGTGTCACAATACGATGTAATCGAATCTACATTATATAAACACGGAAAAGGTTGAGCGAGACTCCATCCTAGATTTTATTATGCAATAAAAACTCGTCCCTAAAGAAGGGAGGAGAGGGAACTGAAGATCTTAGCCGATCAAAGGTTTACCGGCTTTTTGATCCCGGGGCATTACCGGAGGGCACTCCACAATAATAATAAATGCAACGCAATAAAAAACACGACCGCAATTATAATTTAAAACTTTCGTTGTAACGAATAGGTTAAGTTTTAAGACAAACTGATGTTAATAATGTATTTCAGCACACTAAAACATAGCTTAAGAAACTTCCATTCCTTTTCACAGTTAATATATTGCACATATAATAACAAAAACAACCATTCCTCTTCACAGTTAATATATTGCACATATAATAACAAACATGATTTTTGTCATGTTTATTAACTAAACCCTATTCCATCTAATAAAAACATTGAAAAAGCTTACCCATAACCACAAAGAAGGCAAAGAAAGAGCAAATAAAATAAAGCTAATTAAGAGACTTAGTTGCAAGCTTCACGAGCAATTCCCAAGCGAGAATTGATCACATCGAACAAAATTCTATGGTTCTGCTGCTGCAAATTGGCTATCACATTCATGCCGGCGTTCACGTTGTTCGGAACCGGCGCCATTGCCAAGCAAGCCCGATTTCCGGCACTGGTGTGCAAGAAGCTGTTTTCCATCGGCAATGTCATCGACAAGCCTTCGAAATGTAATGTTATTAAAGGTGCTTGTGCTTCGGCTGTGGCATCAAAGCATGTGTCAAATACTCCTATTGTTGTAAATGGGCCTTTCACATGCTTCACAAACTCGTCTCGGATTGCGTTGTAAACGGATTGGACGAATCGGGTTACAACAGTACCCGAATCGATAATGGTCCCCGCCCCGGTGGTCGGGTTAAATGCTAGGTATTCTGGGGCTATGGGAACTTGAACTCGACCGACACTAATTCCGGTTAGGTTAACATAATAAAGTGAGGGTCGGTGAGGGCTTTTAAGAAGCGGGGTAGTTCGAATATTCTTGGGTTGACCCACTGGCCCGAGTTTGAGAGAACCCGAAAAGTAGTAGGACTTGAAACTTGGTAAACAATACGAAAAAACACCTGAATATAGTGCCCCGGATTGCGAAATCAGTGACATGGGCCCCCGACCCAAACCCAAGAGGCCTTGGGGAGGGATTGACCCACCAGAGACGCTGTTTATACATCCAAAAGTAAAATCCGGGACAATATCGTTTGCTAACCGTAAGGCATCTTGAACCAAGTGGGCCGAAAAGGATGAATCTCCACCGTAAGATTGGTTAAAAGAGCAAACAGCGGTTCCCGTCGCCGGGCACGAGAACCCACGGACATGGGTGCATTGTGGCAATGAGCAATCCAACAAACCGTAGCTCGTCGAAGTGTTGGGTGAGAAAGTGGTGGCCGAGCACCCGGTGCAGCCGGAGCAAGGGACCCAAGCCACATCATTACTAGTGTCCAACACCATGAACATGAGCTGACCAGGAGTGCCAATCTTAACCCGGACAACATAGTTTCCGATGTTCAAAACTTGTTGGCCCGAAGCAATTGGAACCGCAGTTGTCTTTTGTGCCACAAGGGTCGACAAGTACTTGATCCTGGCTGGATCTTTTGAGGCCATGTTTATGACCGTGTCGAGCCATGAGTCCGGTTTTGGTGGGTTGAACGGTGAACATTTGCCGTATATAGGGATGACTGATAGGTCCGAACCATCCGGCTGAGAGCCGCAAGGGTCTAAAGCCTTGGTGGTCGGGATAAGAAGAGCTAGAAACAAGATACTGACAGTGAAGTCCATGCTTTCAGAGCTAAGAATACCTCAAGGATGTAGCGAGTTGTTGCATTAGATATGAGAAGGGAGTAAGACTTCTTATACATGCAAATAGTGTGCTTTGAATTACCGAAATAGCCTTGTAATTGTGAAGCATGTCATTGGGTATGTCAATTGTGCTAGGGATATAAATAAATATAAATATATATGGAAAATAAGGTGAGTGACCAATCCTATAATGGAAAAGAATAGGCCGCAAAAACTGTCACTATGTGCAATGATGTACGATAATTGCTTAGAAAGGACCCCCTACTAATGCAATGCACAAAAATACAAAGCGAACTACCCTATAGTTCCATACGAAGAAGAAGATGATGCAATGCTTTTAATTTCACACATTGCCCCTTCTTACCCACCAAAATCTCAATCCTACCAAATTGAGCCAATAATAAGTATTTCCTTGTTAACTAAAGTAATATATGTTTAAATTTTTTTAATCACTTAACAATGCATATACATCTTACAAACGTAGATATTTAAATATAAATCTTTTAAGAAGAATAATATTCTCTTTTTACGTATAAAACCACTCAATGAATTTATAAACATAATTAATTTAACAAGACTTCTCTTATAAATATGATGTTGGACTGGTTGCTTATGAATGGGTCAGTGATAGGGAAAGGAAACAGGGGATGAATGGAGGGTATAATTAGAATTTTCTTTAAAGAAGGGATGAATTGTTAAGCTCGTGAATGCCTTTTGTCCCTTCCAAGATATAAGGTTTCGCATGAGGATGATAAGATGCGGTCACGGGCTCATATATATTGCTCCTCATTCGTGTTTTTCTTTTATCGATGGATCCGGGCCCCACCACCACCACCATCTGTAAAATTCTGTAACATTGACATTGCGATTCTGTCGATAACATATATATATATATATATTAAAGATGTAATTATTTGAATTTATAATATTTTAGTTTGATTTGTGTTGTTATATTTTTTACTTTGATAAAATAAGAAAATAATCTCTTAATTATATATTATTTATGTTAATATCATGATTATTGAAAATTATAAATATGTTTGATTTTAAAAATCAATAAATTAATTTATAATCATAAACATTTAATAATAAATGATTTGACATAAAATAAAAACAGTATAATAAAAAATTGGTGTAATAAGCATAGCTTTGTCCCGGGGTCTTTGCCTTTTTTATAATTTAAAAATATATATGGATAAATGTTAAATTAAACCTTATAATTTTAGTTTATTTTGATTTTGTCTCTCATTTTCTATGATTAATTAATCTTTGCCCCCTCATTTTTATGGTTAATTATATTTTACCCTCTTGAACTGAGTATCGCGACGTTATTAATTTATTATTTATCTACCAAAAAATGCTTAATTTTTTGAACTCGGTTGAATGACTGAGTTTGAAAAACAGAAATGGACCACAAAGAAAATTATATTTTGTAATTTTGTCAGTTAATTTGTCAATTGTTTGGAAGGGGTCCCTCAGTCCCCCCCACCAGCAAGCTCACGAGGTTGTCCTATTCCCAACATCACTACTTGTTGTTATCTTCAATTATTGGCCACAAAATACAACAAAGAAAGTGAAACTTTCCAACATATCCTTACAAAACAATTTCACGCCCTTCACCTTAACCCTTTATCCTACTTTTGAATCCAACAATATCAATATTTATCCAACTCCAGTATTCAGTAAAATAAAATAAAAAACCTACACACAACGATCTGATTTTTTCTAGAAGATTTTTTTCTAGACAAATCCAATGACAAAATTATCTAAATAATTTGGTGAAAAAAATTGACTCGTCTGAGGTGTTTGAGAAATTATATTCATAACTAAGGCGAAATGGACAGCGAATGAGAGAAGACGATTAAGTTATTTATCGTATTCGTGAAGACAAATAAAAGTTTCAATGTTTTTCTTATTCTCCCATGGTCGGTGCGCACCCATACTTTCCTATATCATATAAAAGATGCTCATTGTTATGTGCATCTTCCCCGAGCCATATAAATGATTGTTTCATACGTTTTTTCTAATGTCACTGTTTTAAGAATTTCAAAGTTACAATGTATAACAGTGTTATGTAGGTGGAGCTGGTTCGGCATTCTTCATTCATTTAGGTTGCTTGTACTCCAGACCCAAATTTAAAATTCTTTTATAGAAAAAAAGTATTAATGATAAAAATTTTAACTCAAATATCAGCGTATAATCAAAATGAACTTTTAAAACACGTAACATAGATCATGATTCACAATTATAAAAGAAATGATATTGAGATCCAAATAAATATTTTTCGGGTAGTCGAACCAAAGATTATTTCTTTTTAATGGGATCTCCTTCCTCGCTTTGCTTGATCAGAATATGTTTTCACGTAACATAGGCCACCTTCTCTTAAACAAGTAACAATTGAACTAGTTGTTGGAAGGACAAATCTTTCAAGGTCACTTATTTGTAAATAAGTTCATTTTAGGTTATTTCATATCATTTTTATTTATTTATAAAATTATATTATTTTTAATTTAATAATATTTTTCATTAAAATTTAAACATAAATGTCTTAACATTTTTATGCTTAATTATAATATTATAGATTATTATAGTTTCATGTGATAATTTTTTTTTTGAAAGTTTCTATATTATAAATAACATAATCTTTATAAAATAATAGAATATATTATAGAGCTATAGGTCGGGTTTGACTTTTTGTTTATTAGTATGTATTGATTACAATGTAAATTTATTCGAAAGATTCTCAATCATTTAACAATAAATGTTCAAATACTCTTATAAATGTTATGTTCAAACCAAAATTAGCTAACCCTTTTTCCCATATGTAATGGGGTAAGGGGAGGTATGATAGTAGGCTGCCCCCAATGTTAGGTTGAGAGCAACTTCCGTAGGAGACCTTCGAATTATGAAATGCCCTCCGTGGGACTCAATCCCACGACCACAAGGTTAAGAGCCTTGTGCTCTACCAACTGAGCTGGACAGGCATTTCTTTATGTTCAAACCAAAATCTTTAAAAATAATATCATCCCTTCACCACCGAAAACATGTTTGACTTTAAATGTTAAATAAAGCTCAAGCTCGACTTATATTTGAAACATTCTTATCATTTGTCTAAGTTCATTTTCCGGATCTAAAATTTTCACTAAGATGAACAATTTCACTAAGAAGTTGAAAATATACATGGGAATGAACTTTGTACATAATTCTGGGATGGATCAGAAAAAAAAAGTTTACAAAATCAGAATCCATCCCACTGTTATCTCCCTTTTCCTTTATCACCGGATACGGTTCAACCGAGAGAATGGCTCGTTGTTGGCTTTTGGAGCAGCTTTAGCCACTTCTGGTGCCCCAAAAACATTCCAAAATCTTAGTGTCTCGTCCCCTGCAGCCGATACCACCGTGCAGCCATCGGGGCTTTGAGCCATGTAAAGTACTCGAGACGTATGACCGGTTAGCACCGCCATCTTCACCATCGATGGATACTTCCAAAGTGTTAATTGATTCTGAGTAAAACCATGAGAACTCAAAAGCTCCCTCTCGTTCTTACTCCACATCAAAGCGCACACCTGAGAACCTGTATCGACTGAATTCAAGCATGTGCCTGTATGCGTGTTCCAAAACTTTATGGTTCGATCACCGCCACCTCCACCGGTGGCCAGCAAATTGCTCTGGAAAGGGCACCAGGCAAGGGCCTTGACGGCTGAGGTATGGTCCTCCAACCTGTGTAGCCATTGTGTTGGTGAATTTGAAGATGCCATGGACCTATCCCATATGTGAACAAGATTATCATTGCCTCCGCTGGCTAGTTGTTGTCCGGAAGCCGACCATTTCAGGCCGCAAACCTCTTGCTGGTGTCCTCTGTAGGTTTCGACAACATGGGATTTGATTCTTACATCATTGTTAACAATCTGACCATCCATTCCTCCTGTTGTAAGAATGTGATTGTTCCATGCCATTGATCCCACTCTTGACCTGTGACAGCCTCTCATAGTACGAAGCTGCATCGTCAAACGTAAAAGATGCATCAGAACAAGCGATCGAAAGAACGAAAACGAGAATCAGCAATGTCTATAACATCAAAACCTGTCGATTAGAGGTCGAATCCCACAGATGTACTTCGGAATTGTTCAAGCAAATGGCGATATGCCGACCATCAGGAGCCCAACTCACACTTGTTACAGGACCATTTTCATCATCAACAGTGACAAGTTCTGAGGTAGAACTATCTGAAGCATCCCACAAATACACCGTGTTACCAAGTGCTATTGCAAGAACATTGCCGGTGCCCCAATCCAATAAGTTGAGGTAAAAATCGTCGACAAGATGGGGAGCATCCAATGTTCTCTCAGAGCTCTGAAGAATCAAAATTGATAATCACATCATATTAGTGTCAGTTGAATCAAAATTTCCAGAGCTAGTCAGATTATGCACATCATGCTTAGTTACCTGGGGAATGTGTCTTCTAGGCTTTGCGGATTTGGCCGGATGAGCAGAAGCGATCTAGTTCTCGGAAGGGAAGTGTTCGACCCGTGTCGGTGGTTTGTTCTTGAAAGCCAAGATTCGTGTCCGGTTCATGTTCAAGGTCTCAGCCAGCATCTTCCTGTAGGCCTCCTTGGCAGGTGAGCAAACTGTTTGATCATCTTTGGTCTTCTTACCTTCGGTCAGCATGTAATGAGCATAATCAAAGTCCATTGCCGAACGGTTCGGTATGAATCTATCCATCTGATAATACCAAGAAGGCAAGAACAACATAATTACTTTGAATATCACTACAAAGTACAAAGTTGAAAAATCAAGAACAAGAAAAACCCAGATTTGCAATCACTAAAATCAAATAATACAAAATAAACATAATTATTTTGAGTATCACTGCAAAGTTAAAATCAAGAAAACAGGAACAAGAAAAACCCAGATTTGCAATCACTCAAATAAAACAATGTATAATAAGCCAATATATTTACATTTTCTTTAGAATTATTCCTTCTGAGAAGAACCTGTCCTTGAAGTGGCCATTTAGATTGATCGTTCAA